AAAAAAAAAAACAATGGTTTGGAATGCACAAGTATTTGTAGTTACTTTTTATCAATTGAATGAATTCTGAGATTTTTTGAAAGTAGTGGTTTGCTACTCATTACAAATCTTTCGAGTTTCTTGAGATATTATTCCAATCAAAATAAATTATCCTGCAAACTTGGTTCATAAACTTTTCCTTTTCCCCTGAACCAGTCCTGTTATTTGTCCTTTTATTGTTTGAGTTGTTTATTTGTTGTCTTTGAGTGTTTGTTGTTTGTAATTCTCACGGGTATGGTTTCTTCCCCAGGATTCCTTTGCGTAGCATCAGGTGTGAACTTCGTCAATCACCTTGCTTCTCCTCAACCCTACCTGCATGCTCCTCCTGATGACCAATTCAAAGATTTGTCTCAAAAATTGAATCTCATAAATAAATTCACCTTCAAATCACCATAAAGTATGTTAAACCTGTCGAGGACTTGAGGTATCTTTGACACACCATGAATCTAGAAATCTTTTATGAGCATTCATTTCATGTGCATTTGTCAATTACTTTGATAAGTTTCAAAACGTTATATTTATCTGAGATCTGGTTCATGAACAAGTGAGACATGAGCTGCAAAACAAATAATCTCCAAGATTCATCAAGATTCCCCCCCCCCGGTGGTTCTGGATCAGCTCCTGTTTGGAGCAAGTGATTTAAGAACTTATAGCTTAACAAAAAAGAATTATGATTAATGATTTGATTGATCGTAGTCTGTAGTGTTACCACAGCAAATATTCTTGAATCCTTTTGTTGTGATCCCAAATTGGAGATGTTGTAACCATGCCAGTTACCTGACAGAAGTAATGTGAATTGGAGGAACTGTAACTTCATTGGCTCATGAGCTTACATTTGGATTGATTTATTGAAATTTTATGCAGATTTATTCATGATGGTTAAGGTTTTTTTTCATCACTTCGAGCACAGCCACTGCACCTAAAATTCCTGTTTCCTGTACCTATTAGAGATGTTTTTTTCCTAGGTCAATTTGCCTTTTTTTTTGCTTCTCCCTATTTGCTGTTCCTGCAGAGCATCACCCGCTTTTGACCTCTGACCTTATCTGGGTGTCACGGTTGCCAGGGTTTTCTTGATTTCTTTGGAATTTTATAAAGTGTCTCGTTATGTTTTCCTGCTGAAAAATGAATTAAGTTGGTGCCAGATATACAGGTTGGTTGCCAGTTTGAAGAGTATTTAGTCGTTCAAACTCAACTGCACGTCATATTTGTATATGTATGTATATTATCCTTGAGGTGTATAAAGTTATATTTTAATTTTTATAAAAAAAAATATTGTATCATAAATCCTGGTATTCCAGGGGATATTCTACACAGAGGAAAGACGCCTCTTCAGTATTTTGATTTTCCAAGCTACTAACTCATTCCAACTTTTGGAGTAATGTACTCAAATGTTTAGGTTTGGATACTTGTGTGTTGTGCTTATGGTTTTTATGTAACCGTCTTTCAATTTCTGTCATATTTTCTATTATTTGTGTACTGTGATATTATTTGTATTGATTACATGTTTGGTGTATTATTTTCAAGTGTTTAGTACTTTAGTAATTTGTGCTCAGAGAAACCTGAAATAGTACTATTTGAAAGTACCATTTAGTACTATGTTACAGATAAAAAGGTGTGGCACTCATAAGAGTATTGTGCATAGGGGTATTTTGTAGCATTTTCTGGAAATGAAGTCAACAATAAGTACATGTAGGTACCAAATGAATGGAGAAAACGAGGTCAGGCTCATCTTAATTTTCATTTCTCTTGATAAAACTAGGAAATTTCATCGCACAGTTAAGTGATAAAAATCAGGTTTTTCAGATCAGGCTCTATATATTTAAGTTTGCTAGTTCTTAGGCTTTTAAAATCTATTTAATGCTTCCTTTGCGGAGCATTAAATAAAGCAACAAAATCATAAAGTCTTCCAAAGCAAAATGTTTTTATCAAGTTATGCAGTATCAGATTTACCATTACTTTTTTGTTTATGCACGTGACTCGGTGTTATAATTTCTTTCATGTTTGTTTACCTTTTTGTTTATTGATTTGTTTGTCCTGTGTTATTTAGAATATAAATGAACACAGAAGAAATTAGATTTAGAGGTGAAACACAGAATAAAATGTATGTTTAGTTGCTTTCAATTCACTTCAAAATATAGATTATGTATTCTCTGGAAATATTGCATTTTGTATGTTATTCAACATCATTGTCATGGTTACTGTACATAGGCATCATGTCAATTTTTTTTACTCCTTTATCTTATTGAAATACTATCTTTAGCAAATGGCATTGCAGTGACGGCTCTCCTTGAAAAACTTTTTCAATATTCAATACCATGAAGAAATTAATATCTTTTACTAGATTTTCACTGATTTTTAAAATTTAGATGGTGAAATTTTCGGCAAGGAAATCATATTCTTGAATGATAATCGTAATTAAAGATCGTGATTGAAAATCGGAGTTTTGTAAGTGACCGCTTTGGGAAGAAGTGACCACTTCAGGCAGAGTTTTGTTTCTCAAGTTTGAATTGATATTTTACGAAGATTAAGAGCTGGCCAGATTACACAGATAACCATTAAGCTCCGGTGACAGCTTTAGTCGGCTTGCCTGGCCTACCAACACGTCAGTGGTGCCACAGAGATTGAACTGACTTTCATTCAATTTATGTGCATTTTAAAAACTTGTCATTAAGGTGAATATTATATAATTGCTTATTATTTCGGGTTTGGATCAGAGATTGTGAATAAAATTCTGTGACTGATATCAGCATATCTGGATGTTGTCATGGCAACAGTGATTTTCACCGGCATCCTTGAGTCAGCATGCGGTGGAGGGAGGCATCAACATTTTCCAGTCACCCTACAACCAACCTCGGTGCTTGCTTTCTTATTGGTGGCTGATCTTTGTTTTTTATAGTGCCGGTTGATAGTATCAATTACTTAACATCAGATGGTGGCGGGTTCACATGCAACCCCTTGAGTTGTGTGTACTGGACTGAGGAGATGGGATTGTCACTTAGGTAGTAGTTTAACTATCTACCCAGCTGCAGCGGTTACCAGTTTGAGCTACAAGTACTCTGCAATATAGAAAAGCAACTTAATGGTGCCATCTGTAGAGATGAAAGTGATTTCAAAGTCATGTATATTGAATTTGGTGCTGGATGATAATGTACTTAGTGTTGGACAATGCCCATCGCCTTGTCTGTTTCTTGAAGAGGTAGTTGTGGTGGTGGTGATGGTTCCATGGTGATGGGAATACCTTATTAATTGGGATGCTGTAGATATTGATGACTGTAGAATCATGGAGGTTAGATCTCTTAGCACAGAGTGGCCGACCTTGTGTTTCCAATTTCTTTCATTCTGGGTTTCTGCTTTCTGCACCTTTACTTTGATGCTGTGACCTTTTTTCTTCTATTGGTGGTTGGTTGCAAAAAAGCAAATCTGTTCCAAGCCAATTGGGCTTATCAAGCCGATGTTTATCTCAGGTTTAGGCATGAAATGAGAGAGAATATGCCTACTGCCCCCCCCCCACAAGATTACCAGTCTATCATAGATTGCTTCCCGAATATTTCTTGGTGGAGAGAGGCAAGTAGGGGTGAAGTGACATGCCCCAAGGCCACACCTTATGTCCAGCAGCTGGATTCGAATCCCTGACCTTCTGATCAGGAGTCATAAACCTTAATCACTGGGCCACCTGCACCCTCCCCCCAGGTGTTTGGTGGATTGTATCTTTTTGGATATTTTATTGGATAATCAGCCTTTATCAACCCATTAGAATTCGAAAACATGAGTTAAATTCCTTCCACTGCATAACAATAAATGGGCAATATCATCATGAAAGCATTTTGATTCTGAATCACTCATCCTTTTATCTCTTTTAATCGTGATGTCCAACTACTGGTAAGTTATTCGTCGTGGGAAGTCTGGTTTTAATGAAGCGTCTACAGATTTTCTTTCTCCCCTCCAGTTCATTTTTCCTTTCAAAGTTGAAGCATGATTTCAAGGATAACAAGCAATACAATTTGGCCTAAACAGTGGGTGATTTACCCCTCTAGAAGCAACTTTTTGTGTGCTATGATGTGCCGAGTGATTAACACCTTTTAATCACCCAGCATTTATCTGGGAAAGTTTGGTAGTATTTTTCTTTTGTTTATTTTAGATGTAACTTCTTGAACTTTACCATAAACTTGAAAATGTATCGCAGTGGCTTGATCCTGATTAATCATAGTCTAATTTGTAATGATTATTCTTCTGTCTCTTGAATTCAGTTTTTCTTTTAATTTCTACTCAAATAGGACTTCTTTAATTTTCACTCATGCTAATTTAATGCAAAATACTCTTTCTATTTTGAATTTCATTGAGTGGTCTCAACAATTTTGTTAACAGTGAATATCACCGCTTGAACTTTTAAGTGTATTTCACTGAGAAAAATAACTCATGCTTTGAAACTTGAAACAGACCCTCTCGTGTTCTATTTTCACAGATCATGTGACCCTCAATTGTCCCCACGTCCTAGCAGGGTTGCTTGATGGGTTAACCCCTTGCACAAACTTTTGTGAAGGAAGTACAGACATTGCAAAGCATTGTGGGTTACTGGCTGCCCCAGTCAATGTACATACAGGTGCACTCAGTGCGTATTTGTTCTTATTCGGTTCACCAACCCTGCTACCTCTCAAGAGGGCTGTATTGTCCTTTGCATAGAGGGCGCCTGTCTAATGCACAGTTGAGAACATCATGCAACCAAGACTATTCAAAGTCTCATGATAGGTACTTGGTGAAGACAAGACATTAATAAGGTTCACTTGGAGGAGTGTTTGGTCCCTCCTTTGCACCCCTAACCTCATCAACCCTTTCACTGCAGATCAGCAAGATCAGCATGAATATTCATGACAATGTCATAACTAATGCATGTGTCCCTGAACCACATTCATCCATTTCCCATTATTTTCCCTCTTTTTTTCCCCCTTACACTCATCATGCAGTTTATCCAGGCTGCTCAGAAGGTAATCAGATTATCTGCCACCTCCTCTAGGAGATTACTTCTTCACCGTTTGAATCTCTTCAAATTCACACAATTTTAGCATTTTCTCTTGATAAGGATAGTTCACTTTATAGTTGTAGAAGCACATATAAACTTTATTTTTTGTTTATATTTCATACAGTTTTGACATAGTTGAAATTTGGTTCAATTTGAACATTTTAGAATTGTTTTTTCCTCATACAGATTCCTCGCATTTCTATTTCTTTTTTGTGTCTGAACTCTGCTATATTTCACCCTTTTTGTGCACAACAAAGTTCTTGTTTAAACTTCTCTCGTTCAATTCTCACTGTCAATAATTCATGTTTATAGAGATAGTTGATCCTATTAACAAATACACCGAGTTAAAGTAGACTTGAAAGCTCCCAGTTAACTGCTTTTTTCTTCACTTTCGAGCTTTGCATGTTTTCTGCATGAATTCCCACATTCTGCATTACTGGAATGCCAACACTTCTGTTTTCCTTCCAACACTTCTGTTTTCCTTCCAACAATTAACACTCCAAGAGATTTCATTGACAATAACACTTGATTTTCCCTTTTTTCTTTTATTGAAAAGTACTCTATTTCATTTTCATATGTGTTTGTCAGTTAACAAATTACATGCAATGCAACAAAGAACATAACTGAAGACAGTTTGAATATATTGAGAATGGATTAAGTTCAAACAGTACAGTTTGGGTTTAAACTCTCAACCGCAGAAATACAGATGATTCAACTTGACATAAACATTATATTTCTTGCAGAGCAGTGGTGTAGCTGGGGGGCACGTGCCCACCTCCCTCAAATTCCCAGTCCCCCCCAAAAAAAACGGATGAATGGATATTGAACAAGGCTAAGAAAAGCTTGCCCCCCCAAATAACCACACCATTGAAAGCTGGTGCCCCATAAGATGCTGGTGCCCCCCTTTTGGCCCCCCCAGTAAAATCCTAGCTACGCCACTGTTGCAGAGGGTACTAAGAATACCACATCACTTTACCCCTGGCATGTATATCAACAAGCAGATGTTTACACTGCGTAGGTTGGGGATACTTAAAAACAAGGATGTTTTTGATCGGCCGACCTTGAAGCATTTTCGTGCAATGCATTTTGTTCAAATTCCGCCTCAATTGACACCATGGTGTCAGAACTCGGAAGTGTTTGGTCGGTGCAAACAACCAAATTTCCGGGGATAATACAGGGAAAGTTGAGAACTTGCCATCAATTCTGTACATGAAAACTGCATTTGTCTTGGAAGGTGTTTTCTTGCCGTATATAGTCTGTGTTAATTTGTTTTAACAAATGAGTAAAATGACAAGGCATGACAATTGATTTATATATTCATGTGTTTCACCATGGTGCTCCATGGTCTCACTTATCCTACAATTACTTTGCCATTAGTACCACCACAAGGTTTGCATCAAACAGCAAACATATCTCCAAGTCAAAGCCACACCTAACTAACTTAAGACACAGTGTCAACTTTTTCTGAATTGCACTTTTTCCCCCTTGCAATAAGCCGTGCTACACATCCTTGACCGTGTTTGAATCATTTCGCCCACATCCTCAATTGAAGGAAGGAAGCTGCCGGTATAACAACATTCTCCAGCAGACTGTTTCAGCTCTGTTATGTGTCCTTTCCTCTGCTTAATGTTGCATTTATTTGTCTCTTGTTCCCATTTCTCTCTGCCCCTGTGTCCTCACTTTGTTTGTGTTTAGTCTTCTTTTCTTGCAGTTCACAATGTCATTGAATTCACTTTGTGTGATATCACTTTTCTTGTTTTCTGTTACTATTCTAGTTTTTAGAAACTCTTTTTTACAGTCAGTTTTGTAGATTTTATGATCACTATCATTCAAGAAGAATGTGCTTTGCATTAATCTCAAAGAAGTGAGAAGAACTGTATTTATAAAAAGGTTTGTTTTGGTCTCAAGATTATTGTCTTTTGAAAATTGACAGCACTGCCCAATTTAGGAATTACAGATATTTTAAGAGTTCATTTAAATCTTGGAGATTTTTAAATTTCTGCTGTTGGTAGGATGACTATTAAAATAAGAAATAATAAACCTAAAAAAAATTGAATTTAACAAAAAAAAAAGTGAAAGCATTTATTTTATGCTGTCAAAGTATATTTAACCGTGCATTGGTTTGTACAGAGTGTATTTGCACTCTCCCAAAAAGCCAAAAGAGAAACCAAAAAAATACCTGGCACGAAACAGCTCATCCTGTCTGTTAACACTAAAGTCTTCTCTGTTTTTGTCTCTATGGATAATTGATTCACCAACAGCTTGGATAAAAAAAACACTAGAGAAAGGAGGTTTGAAATGGAAAGATTGTAGCTCATGATCATTCAAAGTGAAAGACATTTCTCTGAACTCCCTTTTCCTTCTCGCCACTTCAACCCCAACATCGCCGTCCGATTTACAGCCTTACTCAATTTCTTTCACTGGTTGTACAAACCAAAATCAGTGTCCTCTTTAGGGACTGTGTTTTGTATGAAAAGAATCAGCGCATCTGTAGAAAACTAGTCTGATTTATCTTTTTTCAGTTTAACAGGATGATCTCTGTTTTGTTTTTAGTTTGAACCTGAATTAACCTCAAACTTTACTGATCTGTCTGTGACATAGCGCCCATCCCTCTTCCGACAACTTGTTGGAGCTGTCAGGCGAGGGAGCGCAGAGAAGATCTTCAAGGAAGTCGAGGAAGAGAATGAGTCCACTCCACTGGCTCCTAATGAGCCTAAGCCCGAGATCAAGGCCATTGATCCACCCCCTGCCAAATCCAGAGAGAGAGACAGGGAGAGAGACAGGGACCGAGATCGAGACAGAGAACGGGAGAGAGATCATGGCAGGCCCAGGATGGCAGCAACCACGCTACCGAGGATCGATAGCTCTGGATCCGAGGGTCTTACCCAAGACCAGCAAAGTAGGAGATCATCACCACAAGTGTAAGTGTCAGACCTCACATGTTTCTAGACCATGCCCTATCTCATGGTGGCTTCAAGTCTGTAAAATGTATCTAGTCCAAATTCTTTGAGGTATTGTCTACTTTCTCCTCTAAGCTAGCAATAAAAATACCTTACCAAAAGATGAAAACTTGTCATGGCATCACTCCTGTTTGAAAGAAGTATTATAACCAAACTGTTTCATAACACCTTGATTCATTTTATTCTTATGGATAAATTTCAAATTATTCGATAGCATTGTAACTGATTGTTTAATGGCATCATTTGCTTTGATGTAGGGGCTTGGAAAGCTCAAAGGAATTTGTGACATTCAGTCAGGGTGGTGGTTGTTATGACCAACTTAGAAATGTCAGTCAAGAATGTAATGTGATATTTCCTGCTCATCCAAACTATTGAGATCAAGCCAACTGTGTCTTTAACCTAGTTCACAAGAAACAACAATTTTCCCGGAAATTTTAAATAGCGCCCTCTTCTGGTTCAACACCTAACATTTTGCCATCTGAAGAGTTGTGCAGCTTTTAGTTCTTTTGAACCAGCATGAACAAATTAGGTAAAGAATATTTTCTCCCACCCAAACATTCTACAAATGAAGTAATTTTCCCATTTTCCCTGTGTACATGCATGTATTGTACAGCTTTAGAATATTTATTTTGAGACTCTGTGACTTTGAGAATTTCCTAATCACACGACTCGTACAAAGGCAAGATCAGATGCCTGCTTCCCATTGGATATGTTCCCTGGCTAGAATAATTTCCTAACATTTTGAAGTTATAAGCCCAAAATGTCTGTTAAATTACTCCTAGATTAGTTCTCAAGTTCATTTCAATCATCATGCAGAGCTTATACCAGGAAATCTTATTAAGAGAATATAGTTTTGACCTGTTGATGACAAAAGAATTCCAATAATCCAATGATTCTTTAAACATATGGAGTTCTTAAAAAGGAACTGAAGTTCTGTTCAAACAGAGTATTTCCTGCATACAAAGAATTGTATCCACAACTGTGATTCTGTTACCATGGAAACTTATCCATTTTTCATCCCATTAAGTCTACTGTGGTCCTTCTTGCCATCTGGCTCCTAGCGTGCCCAGATTAAAGATCTATCAAGTTGTTGGCAGAACAACAAACCCTTCCATTCTTTAGCAGCATAGGGGAAAATGTGAATTTTTTTTTCTTTCCTGATTGTTGGCTAGGCGATACAGCTGTTCCATAAGAGGTGCACCTGTCACTGTTACCCTCTGACCTAGTGTGTGTGTTTGCTGATAATTTGTATGCCAGATAGTGATGAGGATACATTATGGCTGTAGGGAATTGAACTTGACCAAAAGTGCATGTTTGACAGACCTTAGCGTATTGTTCAAAGCAGGGGCACATTGGTAGGAGAGTGTTTATTTTTATAAGAGCTAGGTGAATACGTTGGTTGATGTGGCAAATCTTGATCTGGCTGGGACAGAATTTAACACCACCTTAATGAATTGGTTTATTACAGCAATCATGACTTTCCTCAGTGTCCTGTGACCATTGGAATGTGCCATTGCGAGGCTAAAGATTAACATTCAGTTTGAAACAGATGGAAAGATTAGCTGCATATCTATTTTAGATGTTGACTTTTAAAATACAAATGAAATTGTTTTTCTTTCTCCGTCCAAAGTTTCTGCACAGCTCTTTTGTTTCCTCCTGTTTTCGTTTAAAATTCAGCAACAGTAGACTGATTTGGGCTTGATAATCTGTCTTAATCATCAAAGATGTACACGTGGTGCTTTATATCAAAATATTACTTTAAAAAAGATTTTAAAAGTGATTGGTTAGAGACGAGATGTAGTGTCACCAGGAAGGGTATATGTAAAATCAAATCAGTTGGCTGTCCTATATTCAACAAAGATTTCCTTTAGAAGTTTTCACCTGGTACCTGACTTCAACTTGTTCAGAATAAACACATCTCTTCACCTCCATATCAAACATTTGCCCTTAAGGAGTTTCTCTGACCCAAATAACTGGCTTGATGAGTAGAGATGTCTCCTTTAGGGAGAGTTGAAGTCTTTGGAGTTCAAACAAGGACACTTTCTCTGAACACAAATCTGAGGTCTTTGAGGAATGTCCCCATTTGTTGAAACAAGAAAATGGGGGTATTTGGTAGTTGAAGGACCTTTGAAGAATTGAAGTGGAGGTGATGTTTATAGTTTGTTAGTCAGTAATGGGGTACAATGGGTTGATGCAGTAGGTTATCATAGGGTCAAAGTCATTCAGAGTCTTTTTGTAATTATGGAGGACTTAGTAGTTGCATGACGTCAGTCCATTGGTTGACTTTTGAAGTACTAACTTTGACCCAAAGAAAGAAAAATCAGAGAAATTCTGGATTGAGTTTTGGTACAGAATAGGAATACATGTATATGCTTCTTGGAATGAAGATGAAAGATTTCCAAGGCGTTTGTTCAATTCTATTCCACATTTTGCATTACGAAAACATTTTGGCTTCGTGTTGGAGAAAACCAGAAGCTGGGACTTTGGTTTGTTCAACATTGTTCACTGACAACTGTTTGACAAATAAACAAGCAACAAAAATACTTTAAACAAAACAGAAAAAACTCATTACCTTGAGTTTCAAAAACATTCTGGGAAATTGACAAATAAACAAGCAACAAAAACACTTTAAACAAAACAGAAAACAAATCAATTTCCCAGAATGTTTTTGAAACTCAAGGTAATGAGTTTTTTTTTTACCTTTATTTTTCACCTCGGTTCACCTGGAAAGATAGGGAAGTAAGACCATTGCTATGCCATCAAATCATCCAAGCATCCTGATCAACATCCTCTATGTAAAACTAAAAATCAAGAGACCCGTACAAGGTTACATTTCAAGTTTCCCTCACTGTCCACCATTGAACTTAAAGTCTGATATCTGTCACTGCGATCTCATGTTTGTCATCTCAACTATGAAACACCATCAATGTAATCACCCTCCATAAAATCACACATTAAGATTCCAGAATGTTTTCTGGAAAGTGATTCAGGGACATGCAATAATGACCCTGTTATCTGTTGTCTTCAGTGACTGCTTTATTGTCCTTCCTGAGAGGCCAATAACACTTCAACCTCTTCAGAATGCCAAAATAAAAAGTCATCTAGTTCTCAGATGTAAATCAATGTAAACCATTTCACAGGGCACACAAAGGTTAGGCAGAGATCCTCCTGTGAAATGTTTGGAATATTCAGGGGTCAGCATTTGGCTGTTTTCAATATTTCAGCCATCTGGTAGAATTCCAGATATTTTGGAAGTTCAAAATCAACCAGTTGTTCTCACGGCAGTTCAGGATTTGCCGATATTGTTGTAGCTGTGACATTAGTAGGTTCTTTCCATCAGTCATTTTTTTCAGCAGCTTAACAGAAGTTTGCTGCAGCCGACACCATAATTGCCAATCTATCAGCTATGCATAAAGCCTCCCTAGAAACATTTAAAACAATCTGCATCTAATTTCCTGTTTCCAAACTTTTAATTTTTATTAGTTCCTTGTTATATTCGTGTTTTCCCTGGGACATGCAAGCACTTGTAAATCGAATTTGGTTTTCCAATTTTCCTTGTAGTTGGGCCTTGATTTTTCTCTCATGCTCAGTGTGAAATGTATCTATAATTAAACTTCCACTCACCAAGTGAGCATCGCTCACCTTCTCCATCTTTTAACATGAATGACTAACACCCTGTGTCTTTATCCTCCCAACAGACACGACAAGTCCCCTGACAGACATCGTGGGAGATCCCGTGATAGACAGTATGACAGATCTCAGGATAGACCCCAGGACAGACCCCAGGACAGACCCAGTGATGGGCCACGAGAATCTCGAAGAAGGCCCAGGGATACGCTAGACAGCGCTAGGGTAAGAGTGAAACTTTTCGGTGTTTCCCATTGGATGTTGATTGAGCTTTCCCTGAGATGATCAATTAAGTATCATAACAACTTCACAAATAGGCCAGTCAAATGTCATGATTGTTAAATGTACCCAGACCAATTTGGTAACCTTTGTCAGGGATCAAAATTAACCTTTTTTTCCTGGTAGCTGGCAGGACCAGTACTTCAAAATTTCCACTGGTCGTGCTGAAAGTTTGGGGGTCCATACCAGAACCGGAAAAAATTCTGTCAACTGTGGCTGCAAATGTCAACATTTGTTGTGATACATGTAGGCAGAGGTCAAATTAAAAAATCGCTGTCTTCCTTCTTTTCTGTGACTTCTTATGTGTCCTTTCAGGGTGCTGATACGGTTGCAAGAGGATCAAATCCAATTTAACATTCGTTGAGCCCGCGACAAACGATGACTTTTGATCAGCCACTAAATTTGCACGCACAGGCGCATTGAGCAATCCTTGTAAGGGGGCCTACATGTTTAAAAAAAGAGACAACTTCTTGCAGTCAAGACTAGGGGTGTTTAAAAAACAAGTGGATTAGGCTTAGACTTCTGTTTCGCTGGTTCCTGTCAGGTCTGGACCATGGTTTCTAACGCTGTTTTCAAAATGGCTGGGACCAGTGAAACCAAAGTCATGAACATTTTTGAAACGAGTAGATTCAGATTAGACTTTGGTTTCACTGGTTCCGGCCATTTTGAAACAGTGCTCGAAAGCACATGTTCAAGCTCTGACTGGAACCAGCGAAACCGAAGTCTAAGCCAGATCCACTTGTTTCAAAAATGCCATAGGTTAGCACAGCGTGTTGTGCGCATGCGTGACAAAATTACAATTGGGATCATTCTTGTGTCACGTAGCTGGGTACACGCAGCATGCAAAATATATAGAATCAGGTCCACCGCGCTAATAATTTGGGTATTAAATGTATGTACATGTACACAGATCTTTTTTTCAGGTCGATACTTCATTACATTTGTCAAATATATTTTGTACTGGCTCACCGGACCACCGGTTTTAATAGATCAGCTGGTCCACCAAATTTTCTACTGGCCTCGTGTCAACGGACTACGGTTAATTTCAACCCCTGCTTTCTGTAATGGCCACCACCTTATCTCGGTGTTCTTCAGCAGAAATGGTTTCTACCATACCATACTGTTTTCACCTGTCTATTGTAGTCACTTGCCTGTTCTAGCCATCTTTCCAATATGGTCACCTCCTCTGTACTGTCCCTTTCCAGTGTCCAACTCACCAGTGTGTCTATCTGTTAAGTGTCTGTCAGTCCAATGTCCATCTGTTGAGATTGGCCTCTTGACTACTGTCTCTATCAAATATGACTGCTTGTTGTAGGAAACGAAAGCTCTGATTTCTCATTTTGATCTAATTTTCTCTATTTAAATTAAATTTTTTTGATTTTGTTGGAATTACAAATTGCATTTATCACAGTGTAATTTATTTTAGGTAAATCTTTGGACATGAATAAATGAACATAAATGAACCTAAATCAATCACGTACTCATCCCATTTGATTTAGGTTAATCGGTTGGCATATAGACTTCATTGTTTGCTATAACCCCAGCATTGTGGCTGACTTCTTCAGTCGTAGATTGACCTTCTGGTCTTTGGGCCATTCAAGGATAAACAACACATCCACATTACCCTTGGCCAGAATTCTGAAGAACTGTAATCTAAGCCTGATTTCGTTTTTCTTGGTACCACTTAGATCAAGTGTTTATTTCTGTCAGGTGGCCGGAGTTTGTTTATAGTAGTTTTAGATTTCTGCAGGCAGATTTTTTTATGGCAAAAAACTTTGGGGAGTCGGAATGTGAGGCCCCACAGTGATTAAGTCTTTATATTATCATACAAAGAGGGAATTGGGTTACTGTTTGTTCTTCTATTGCCTCTGGAATTATTTACTGAAGGCATCAGAATTCCTGAAGTGAAGCATATTTCACTCCATTGTGAACCAGGCCATTCTTGTAAGAAAATGTGTAGTTGTAGCGCCCTCGAGCAGCCCTGTTGTAGAGCAGATGGCTATCACTTAAAGAGTAGGGTCAAGTCAGTCAAGAGATGAGCAATGCTGCTCCATATCATCAAGGAAATTGTGAATGTGCCAACATGTTGAGCTAGGATAAAACTGTGTGTGTTGACTGATGTGGGTTCCGTTTCACACTCTCCCTCTACCCCATGTATCTGAGAGGTGTTATGTCTCCAAACAGATCTCGTTGCGATCAAGACAAGAAAACTTCACATTTATTTTCTTTTCTAATCAATGAACAACTATGAAAAGATTCACACCTTTATGGGCTCATTTGTGGCTTCATCAAAGCATTTGCCTGAAGAGTATTCAGATTGGCTGATATCCGTCCAATAAGAAACCTGGGGCATTCCATCTTTGCCCTTAGTCACATGGCCTCTTTCTATAGATTGATATAAGTCAAGTCCCTGTTCAGTCCTTCACTAGAGATTAGCTTCATGGCCATTGCGTGTTCCACTGATGACATTTCGGCATTGTTTGCAGACCTTTTCACTCAGTGAGTTCATTGACATTTTCCATCTTTTTTTTTTTCATCTGTAAAGGTATCGGGATTGATCTTTTGCTTCACTGAACTCAGGAACTTAAGATCTGCAAACAATGTCAACCTGTTGCTAAGACCTAAAGGTCTCCTACAACTTTCATCGTGATGGATAAAGTTCTTCCCCCCCTGCAACCGACTCAAATGATCCCTTAAACAGTTGAGAACAAACACAGCCACACTTTGTGATCATTGATACGTAAAAACCAAAATTCACTAAAGCCTCATGCTAGCCAAGATCAAACATTTGAAAAGGATCGTTGTAGATTCAGAGTGTCTCATTGTTTCTGTGTTGACCAACTTGAAAAGTTTAAACACAGAATGAAATGCTCAAATTCTGATCTGGTTGTCAAATTTAATCAGGTTATCAACATTTTAATATTATATGTCACAGCATTTGAAGGACACAGATTTGATCGATCTGTTCGTTGGTTTGTCAGTTTCTCCTTCATTCTCTAAAAATGTCACTAGTGGTTTTGTCTGTCTCCAAAAATAAAATAATTAAATGTTAACATTATCATAAGTCCTTCGTCAAAAGTGGTGAAAATACTATAGAAACATCTGTCTTCCTTTGGATAGCCATCCTCTGTGGTTATTCTTTGCAAGGTGTGTCTATCGTCAGATGACACTCTCCTTTGATTTTTAGTTCCTGATTGTACCAAGATAGCCATCCAAGATTTGCTCGTCTAGCCACTATCGCTTACTCAGCTTGCTAAAAATATCAACCTATGCCTGGTGATCATTAAAAGATCAACAAGCAGAGGTAAAAATAACCACCACCTCTGACATGTGGGGCCTGAATAGGAACAATAAGATGAGAACAGTAAGGTTCTAGAACATAAAAAGTGTTAAGATGTACGGTTCGTTTTATTGTTTCAACTTTAATAAAGTATCTCCCACTAATACACACATAGAAAGAAATTTGGAGTTGTTAGTTTACTTACAAATAACAGAAATTTGACAGGGGCATAAGCCCACGTTTAAGCCCAGTACCTCCCAGGCCAAGCAACCCACAGAATTCTATAACCAAAATTGTGCTCCTCCCTTTAAATCTTATATCAATTGAAAAGCGAGGTTGATGACATGCTGAAAGATATTAAGCAAGTCCTGAGAAAGTATTCAAATATTCTGTTATGAAAGAAGTATAGAGCTACACTTAAGTCTCAGATATGGTGACATCCATATGGAATTCTACATCTGTGATTTCCAAATCATTCACACCAAAGTGGGCATGACGCTTGGATATCCTCCAGACAACCCTCCTAGAACTTTATAGGTATTACTTGCTGAAAACAACACCCAGAGCAAGTCATTAATTGAATCTCGGAGGACAAACTTGTGGTTTGGAAACCGCTGTAGGAGCCATCAGTTACAACCCTATGTGAGTCCCTCTGGGCTTGGTTTCTGGCACTGCCAATCCTGTGGTCGTCTGGCCACATTTTAGCTCAACCCCATCGTCTTTCCACACTCCCTACAACAATGTTAAATGGCCAGGGTGTTCAAGAGGAAAATCATCATACTGTAGAATAAACCAGTCCACTTATATCCTAAAGTGATGATTAATCATTAGGAACAGTCTAGCTAAGCATACTCCCTTTCCTTGTCCCCAGGGGGAGGGAGGTGCTTCAACCTCTTTTCACTCTATCTTCATCCTAAAACACCTGATTCCAGGTACAGCAGGCAAAGCCACTCGTTCAAGAAATCTCTGATGAAGTATAATTCCTAATTACTCGACCTGCAGGAGAATTTCTACCCATGTTATGTGTAGCTCAGATACACCTGTTAGTATGCTCCCTTGTACATGTACATGCAGTGACGGAGCATTTTCTGCATTCTTTGGCTTAAATTGTAGCCAGGACAGGGATTTCATTAACAGTTCTGTGTCCAGAGTTACGGGGAATTCAAATCATATGTGTTAATATCCTGCAAAAGGGTAGATGAGAAAGAAAATTTCTGCTGGGAATTTCTGATTCTGAAGAATTTGACTGAAGTTTGTAGTATTTTTTTTTTAATATTTGTGGAGGCCCCAAGTTGAATCCTCATGGGGGGCCCAAATATTTAATTCTTGAGTTCTTGGCAAATATCCCTTTCAAGAACCTCTTTTTTCAAAGAAAAATTCCCTCAGAATGAAGCAAAATGCCAACCCATATCACTGACACGTTTTCATGTTGTATAAGTCCTTGGACCTATAGGCCTATTTATATTCTCCCCAGTTGGTTGTATGCGGCTTTCTGTCTGGTAAGCCAAGTCCCCTCTGCTGATTTATTTCCTGATTGGGGATCAACCATACTCTACTCTCATGGAACAGAGCTAGCATAGAGCCACGCCTCTTCCTTCCACCTGTTCATGTGTCTCTTGACATCCAAACTCCCACCCCCTCATTCTGGGAATGTTTCACATTCACGTGGAAACGCAAAATTCTTGAAAGATTGTAAACCTTGTTGACAGCTCAAATACACAAACTACGTACAACCTGTACCTGTCCTCTCCTCCTTGATAGGATTTCTCCTCTGAGTGATTCATTGTTCTATGTATGTCATATTTGTTTGCTGTTGTCCACGATATCATGATACATTTTGAACTCAAAGTGTGTGAGTCTTAACAGTATTTATTAAACTTGAGCTGAAATATAAAGACCCCAATTGTAGAATTGGTCAGCATTTGTACTTCATAATAACATGTTAACTGCATGTCCACCTCCTTTCCTTTCCCATGTTTTGGATTTGGCATCCCTCCATTTCTCTATCATCCCTTGCATCTTTGCCGGCCCTCCTTGTAGAAGACTCTGGTAGATCACATGGAAGAGCAGCAGTATTCTGACGAGGGTTATTATAATGACGAGGCACAGGACAACACAGGATATCAGTTTGAATATGAAAACCAGAGTGATGAGGTTTTTTCCCCTGTAAGAAAGCTTGCTGTGTGGCAGTGACCCTTCGGGTGCTTGCTGTGTTTCTAGGATTGACTTTTTTTTCAACAGACTAACTAACCTCTCACTTTCTGTCTGGTATCTGCCATCGATTATTTATTATTTTATCCTGTAATAATATTGTTTCTCTATGTTCTAATTATGATGTATGGAAATACAAACCAAACCAAACCAGACACCCCGTTGTAAACTATAATTCTCAAGCACAGTTATGAAAACTGATTTTCTTTATCTCTGATGAGTGCATGTAGGCTTTGTATGAAACTTTAAAAACATCACTGAAAGGCCAACATGGCTACTACTTAAAAAGGAGTTGCAGTTGAGATTTGCTTATATCAAGAATGATATTCTTGTTCCTACTGATCTGCACCTGTCTGATGTGTCATCACAAAATCCAAACTTGATAGATGTGAAACCTGCTGACATCTATTTTCCTTTTTTACTGACAGATATATTACACCATCCTAACACATCTGAAGGTTTTTGTGTTGGCAATTAAAGAGTCCTGTCAATAATCATTTTGGTCAAACCCTGTCTTTCTGTTGAACATATCTGCCCAATCTCCTGGGCCTTTAAGATGAAGTTTGGAAATGTTTGGAGTTCATTTTCATGTTTATCTATTGTAACATAGATGTATGTTATTTCTACATACAAACAGGGCATTGAAATGGCTGATATAAGATACCATGATGCACCAGATATACAAAGGTCTGCCTCGGGGTCCATTGATAGGAAGGTAAGTAGGAATCCAAAGAAGTCTTCCTCGTTTTGTATGTTTTTTTTCTCTTTGGTTACAAGAAATATGTTCATTTTTTTTTTGAGAAATTTCAGACTATTGCATATTTGTGAAGAGGGTGTGATGTAAAGATGTTTTACATTAGAGAATTGTCATTTTTTTGGTTTTGTTTTCATTTCCTTTTGGTAAAATGTGTTATGTTGTGTTTGTGTATAAAAGCCTCAGTAATGGTGACTATTTTATAAGCTATATTAAAAAAAAAAGTGATGAAGAAGTATTCTATTTCTGTGTGTTTTTTTTCTACTGATTGCCATGCAAGATACAATTTATCAATACGTACTTCACAATTAAGAATTTCAAGCTCGACTTTTTTTAAGTGTGGATCTGTTACTGTCCTCAGCGTTTGTCAGTGTTCTAATGTTAATAGGGTTCGGTGAGTTTTACAATCTATGTATGTCAGACTCAATTGCATCATATTAATTATCTGTATCTTGTTATCTAGACCTTTACCCAAGATTGCTGCTGATTGCTGTGCCTTTGTAGATTCTTTTTGTTTTAAACTGATTGGATTTTGAATTTGACATTATTGTCAAAGTTGAGAATATTGTGCTTTTGGAGTAGTAGTCTGAATCACAGTGTTGCACTCAATGCATGGTTTTCATTATTGCCAACTTAATTTTGCCAAGGTTTGGATGTTAAGACAAGGCAGCAAATTTCACTAAATATTGTAAAAGAGCTCCTCAAATTGTTCATTTTAATCAACTTACATTCTTTCTAATTCTAGTTTTTGTTTGGTATGATAAAGGCAAAATAACAGCTATTGACAAATGCTTTTGACAACAAGGCGGAAATGTTGAAGTGTTTTATTTTATCTTTTTGTGTATCAACAGATTGGACTGATCGAATCTGAATTGATTGACATTAAGTCATTAGACACAGATTTCATTATAAAATTTTGACAGATCAGACAAAATGGTATTAAAGTGTTCCATTGAATCCAGATATGGATTTCTGGTCTGACATACTCATTTTGGTTCTCAAAAAAAAAACAAGCAATTTAAAAAGGCTCAGGCAAACTGGTTCCAGCCCCCCCCCCAAAAAAATCGTAAAGAAGCCACCACAATCTGATACTACTGAATTTCTGAGGCATTCTTGAGTTGTATTAATCCATCATTTTCTATCCTGCCTTGTCTAAGCATCAATCCCATTTGAGCATTCATGCTACCACATTTGCTTCTCATGTTCAATTGTCATTGCATGGAGCAACTATCATTCATTCTCTGATCATTTGGTACAATTTATTTTTAGTTATATCACATTTGTGCTACGTTTATCATCCTGGCTTAGAGAGATATTCCATGGGTTACTGTCAATCAAAATTACTCTTATGATCAATTTTCCAATCATTGCTGACTTGCTTGTATTTTTTGACGGCTGGTTGTGTTCACTCATTTAATTTGGTGATGAGCTTATTTCCTGTCTTGTCACATATTACTTTTTATTTTTTGTTCTTGTTTTTTCCCATGCTTCTTTTTAATCTTCTTGGAAACCCAAGCAGTCAATGGACAGAAATTCATCAGCCAGTTCCTCCCACCATCCAATACCTAGTCTCCAGCCTCCACCTCAGTCCTCTAGAAGTAAACCTAACCATCATGAGCGTGGAAGGTCTCGACAAAGAGATTCTCTAGCCCCTCAAGATCCGTATTATAGAGAGAGACAATCCAGTAGGGATAGATCAAGCTTAGATGACCCTCATCAGTCCTATGACCCTCCACGAACCAACATAAGTAGGAGTAGCTCTAGGCATAACTTAGACAGGAAAATTGGTCATTCCTCATCCTCTGTCGACTTCCAATCACAGAAAACCTTGGCCCAGCCGCCGCGGCTTTCAGATGCCTACAGCTATGACAACTTACGAGAGTTAGATTCTCAAGATGGTAGACACAGACAAAGTTTTCGGGACGTGAGAATTGACCCAGGTTTGGAAAGTCGAGAATCCTTCAACAGATCACATTCAAGACGTCCCAGCTCACTATCCCAATCAGACGTTAGGTTTGAAGATACCGGTACAAACAATGCTCAGTCACCACTTAACAAAAAAAATGCACTAAGAAATTCTTCCAAGCATCTTGAAGCCAATGCAAATCTTAGGAGGAGGGGGTCTTATAATTCTCAAGAACCAGAGAAGATCAGTCAGAAAAGAAAAGAAGCAGACATTAGACTAGACAAACCAAGTTCTCATCCTAGACCACATAGAGACAGGCATTGGAGGTCTGATGATCGATACCAAGACAATGATTACACTGATTCCCCGTCCCTCCCCCACAGACCTTCCCCAGTCGACTCAGCTGGGATACCAGTCTCCCAAAGCCTCACTTCATTCGATAGGAGCAAATCCGGCAAACGATACACCTCCCCGAGTATGCCAGAGTTTGCAACTTCCAAACCAAATAAGAACCAAATCTCTACCAGCACACCCACTGACAATCAAGAAATCAACCGCAATTCTAAGTATCTAGAGGATGAGCGACACACGAGGGGGAGGAGCAGTAGACGATCAAGCAAAGAGGGGGTTTATGTTGATGAAAACCGCAATGTCACAATGATTGGAGAGACTCATGGGCAAGGAAAACAGATAGAAAAGAAAGATGGTACTCGCGGTCATCAACGAGGCTCAGTAGATAGGGAGACAACTCGTAGGCCAAGGCGGGAAACCGATAACACAGAAGCGGATATTCATTACCACGCCTCTGGCAAACACAGACGGAAACACAGCCGGGAGGAAATCAGGCCGGATGGTGATGATCGGTATGAGGGAGACACGGTACCAGACCAACGGAAGCACACCTCTAGGGGAGCCCGACCTAGACCAGATGAGGTGACTTCATTTACATATCCCCTAATCACCTGACTGTCCATGAATTAGATAGCCTGGCCATCCAACCAAAGTCAAATCAGTCACCTAGCCTGGCATTGCGGTGTCTGTTTATTTCCCCCATTGTTGTCCTACCTGTCAAGTCATCACAACCTCCTCTAATCTGGTTACTTTCTTCCACAAAGTTCCTGATAATCCCAAACCTCCAAAATCTCATAACACCTCTCTTGCTCTCTCTCTCTTTGAACTCCAATTCTTCACAGAAAGTTCCATTTTTCACAAGAAAACCCTATCCAACTCTCATCAAACCTCCTCTGCACTTCTGTTCAAGCACTTCGGAAAAAAAAACAGTCAGAAACATTTCTCTGAAATTCTCACAATGGATTCCAAACAAATTATGAAATCTCTTCTCAAACTCAGAGACAAGCACCAACTTTTGGCAGTTCTGTTTGCTTTTCTTTATTGCCTTTTTCCCTTTTTATTTCTTTCTGATATGCTTTTTAAAAAAATTTTATATAACCTGTTTTTCACCTCACCCCCCCGCCCCCATGATGCCCCTGTCTCTGAGTCTGTTGGTTCTTCCATCTTACTGCCTTACTGCTTGTTTTTGTTTTGGAGACACCGTGATATGCCATCAGTATTATTTGAAATGCTTGACATCAATCCAGCTTTTATGCATGTGGCTCAATTCACTTATTCACCATAACACCTGCTGAAATGCACGCTTGAATTGCATGATTTCAAAACACTGATTTTGATTCCACAAACAACATCTATTATTACATCAATATTTATGTAATTTTGTTTTGTTTGATTTTTTTTGTATGTAAGTAATTTTCTTTCAACTGATGATTTCTAACCGATGCATGACAACAAATCCGGGTATTTTATTTGCTGATTTTTATAATCCATGTAGCGCTGTTGCATAACCCCGTCTGTCAACTAAATTTGTTTATTCTGTTCCGGTCATGTTTGTTATTAAACTAATTCTGTTGGACGTTTACTTTGCCTAATTTTTGAGAGGTTTTTGTTCATAACCCAAAGGGTGCAAACAGAAGAGAAAGGCTAGACTCCGAGGAAAGTGTGTCCTCTTCCCAACCCCTGCTTGGGTCAGGTAGGCTCAAGTCAAAAACACTACACTACAGGCGCGGTTCTACGGGGGGGGTTTCGAGGGGAGGGTTATGACCCCCCCAAAGAAAAATACCACAAAGCTCTCCCTCTACTGATCCCTCCCAAACATCAGTATCAAAATACCTGTGCATTTTTCCCTTGAGTTCCTTAACAATGATGGAACCTTTGGGGAGAAAATCCTTTCTAATTTGTTCACTACACTCGACAATTTTACTCCTTCCCTCGGTTTTTTTTTTTAATATCCTAGAACCGCGCCTAGTCTTTGCCAACACACTTCACATCCTATGCATACCTAAGTCCTGCACATCTGCCAACCATATTTGGTTCTATCTGGCTCCTGCATTCTCAGTCGGTGAAATTTTCAGGATCAAAGCAGAGTCTCTGATAACTTTCCTCCACCTGTAAACCTATATATTTATTATCTATTTGAATCGGATGTTATCTAGGTTTTGCATGTCAGAAATCGGTAGATTTTTTTAAGGCAAGGAACTAGTAATATCTTCAAAATGTCTACCATCTTTAAGACTCTCTTCACAGAAATTAGAAAACATTTGTGTGAACAAGTTTTTCTGTTTAAACTAAGACAAATAGACATGGTAATTGTTAATCTTATATTAATCAGATTGTCAAGGTAGACTGCCATTTTGAAAACAGAATAAAATGAACTTCAGATATTTGGAAAACAAAATTGGAATATTGACTAGGGCCACCACTTTTCATAAATATATCAAAGATAAGATAAAAAGTGTATGTTAAAGTTTGCCTGTTAATGGCCAAGAAAGTCCCAAATCTGTCAATGTGCTAGAGAAATCTATTTCAAACGTTTCCCCATTATCTCCAACAGCCAACCCATGCTGTATGCAAGCTTGGCAGTTCCTTTGCTTTCCACCAAGAAGTCTTGCTTGTTGCTCTCAAAGCAAAGTTTCTTTTAATGCAAATTATTTGGCACTGCAATGTGTGATGCCGTCATCCATCCGCCAAAAGAAAATCTTATGATACTTCAGGTTTTACCAGACTTTGATCTTCATGTGTTGCTGATTTTAATTTCTGCTGCCTATTTAAGCACAGATGTGGTTTTTTCCTTCTTTTTTTTTAAATTATCATGCACATTTCTGTTTAAATTGCTTTTTATTTTGTCTTCTTTTGAAGGGATATGGTTTGATTTCAACTTTTGATAAGACACTATGTTTCTGTCATGCAGTCTTCTCTTATTTTGCACCATTTTAAATAATTCAATTAACTTCTCTATCATAATTAACTCATATTAACCCATTGTTCATCTTTGAGCTTTCCTTTTATAATTCCTTTTATAATTTCACTCACATTATCAAGTTGTAATCTTAATGTTTCTGTTTAACACGCGTCTTTGTCGAATGTGTTTGTTCCATCATTTCTTCTTCTAAGCTTATCTCTATTCATTTTATTTAGTAAAAATGTTGAAGACAAAGTCATTAATATGGAATCTTTATCTCTTTCTCTTGATATTATGAGTTTTTTTAATAAATCAATCTTTTATCACTTGTTTTAGTAGTGGTTCATTTATTTAATATCTAGTTCTTACAAACAAGTTTTTCTCCATCAAATTTCCAATATTTCGAAAACTTGCCTCCAGCGAAATGTTTGAAACCAAGCTCCTTTAGCCCATAAACTCAGAAATTTTAAGAAAGCAAATACGTCCTTAGAGACACTCAAGCTTTCCAATGTGACCAATTTCATGAAGGCTCCAATATTTCAGTTTGGTCAATTTGAACAGAAAGGAATGAGTGTTGATTTTGACTTACCTGTCTACTTATGGAATTAGTGATAAACACTTCCTCTAGCCTTCTTATTTCTAAACTTCTTCACAGTCCTTTTCTCACCACTCTATGCCTCAATTTGACTGGAATTTTTTTCTTACCATCTGTTGGTCTCGTTTGCTTTGGTAGGGCGATCCCCATCACCAATACGACGTAGGATACCAAAGGTAGACTTACCGGACCCCTCTGCACATCCGTATTTACCCCCTTCCCCAACTTACCGAACCAATCGTGAGGACCAATCACCCCGGGGAATGAGTAATGGTAAACGCCAACCCCATCGATATGATCAGCGAGGGCCAGAAGACTCCCCCAGTCAGGAAGGTAAGACTAAATCTCGTCGACCTTCGCCGTCTCAACGGGATATCTCTGGCCCCGTCTCCACACCCAGCAAGCGTGCACAGAGTGCCGAGCATTTACCAGAGACCGAGTACAGTCCAGGGATGGTGCGTCGTACCCCCGGGCGCAGGTTACCCCCGGTACCTGGCGAGGCTAGATCCTCATCCTCTCTGTCAGGTACACCGAGGCCCAGACCTCGTTCAGCGGGTACCTCACGCTCAAAAGACTCAAGTCCAGTCAGGCAACCTCCCTCACACCCAAGAAATAAAGAGCCCCGTCATCCAGAGACCCGATCCACACCCCCACCATTTCCGATTGATGACCGGCCACCACAGTACGAAGCAGTGATGCGTACTCAGGAGCAGGCAGAATCATCAGGAGTTGATCCCCGTCTACCTAACGGATACCGACCAGGGTCTGTCTCAAAGGGGCGTGGTCATGGCACCCAAGCTCACAGTCCCCGTAGGGCCCCTCAAGGTATGTCAAGAGGGCACGGAAGGAGGCATGGACGGGAAGGAAATGGTGGAACACTAGCAGGGTACTCAGACACTGAGGAGGATGAATGGGCTTAACAAGCTAAGCTTATGACCTTTCAGACCCACAGATCTTTTTGTTGTTCTTTCCTCAATACCAATGCAACCTAGCTTCATTTTCCTTCAGTCCTTTGAACCTTTATTCAGACACATTATTCCAGTAGAGACAGTTCGATGTTCGGAGTTGGCAGGCCAAACCAGTTCGTTATGATGGCTACGTACAGTTACTGTTTCACTAAACATGAGTAGAAAAGATTTTGGATATTGAAATGCCGTCAAGACTGGGCATCCAGCATGCCAAGACAGCACAGTTGATAAGGATTTCATCAAGACAGTGAGGATTCTATTGCCGTTGATTAAAAGCATGTTCCCAGTTTCACTTGTTAAACTGTGCAGAGGGGTATCTCATTCACAAACCATTTTTGTATAATAGCTTCGGCATTGTTAACGTACATTTTAAATAAAGCCACTTATTAAACTTTCTATACTCAAATGCAGACAATTAATATTGAGCAAAACCATAGCTAAGTATTTTGACACTACCTTTGTGCTAATTAAAATAATTCTGATTGGAGGATAAATGCCCATATGTCACTTTAATGTCATATGTCAGCCCATATGTTGGATGTGACAAAAACGAGTGAGTGGGTTCCTTGATAACTTTGTTCAACAGTCGGGTTTTGTGCCATGTCATTTCCAGCTGACTCAAGGAAGTTACTGGTGCCCGTAATCAAGGCAGACTAACTGCCAAAAGTCAATGTCGAATCCTTCACAAGTTGTTTGTCAATTGACATCTTGTCAGGGTTGTCAAAAATTAGCATGAAAAAAAAAATGACCAGAATGTTAATTGGACATTAAACATCAAGGTGTGGGCACATGTCATGTATTCTTTCTTTCTTACTGTAACCCCTAAAAAGGAATGAAATGTGTTCTGCTTTCTGGCAGTGGCATAACTAGGCCTCCATGCCGGAGGGGGGGGCACCCGGGTGCATACAGTTTTTCAAGGAGTACCAGAAGAAACCAAACTGCAGCTACATAAACATAACGGAGATTATTCACAGATTTCAAATAAGGGGGGTGGCACAGGCATCCACATGGGGGCACTCCCTCCCCCAGTTACGCCACTACTTTGTGGTTGTAATTCCTTCTTACACTGTCAGACATCAGCAGTGTTTGTCTTCATTGTTTTTCGTTTGTATAAAACTGCTGCAGCAGCATAGCTTCGACCAAGTAAAACTGTACACTGTGTCTGCTAAATGTCCATTGCTATTTACTGTAAAATTGTCAGCTTTGATGGACAAAGTCTCAAAATTTGTAAAAAATTGTCATTCTTTGATGTGATTACCAAGTTAAATATTCCATTTTCTGCAACCTAGATCAACTTAAATATGGGGAATTTCTTTTCTCGCTTAAAAACACACATAAAATTGTCTTTTTCCTTTTTGTAACCTGGGTAACCCTAAGAGTAAACAAATTTTTTTAGACACAATATCCCAAGATATATCTTTCACATAGTTTTTAAAAAATCATACGATTTCATTTCTCTTTGCCTGATATCTGTTCCAAATATTGATGAGTTACTGTACAAAAAACTTTTGCAATGCATTGAACTAAATCACCAGATATCTTGTACAGCACTTAACATTTTTTTACTCACAGAAAAAAATATGGGTTGTGGATGAAATAGTCATGCATACCTTAAAGATTCTGAATCATTAAACATGCATCATACTTCAGTTAGCCTTGCCTTAAAATTTTCAAAATTTAACTGAAAATGCAAAAACTGTTTTGTTGTTTGACGGACAGTGTGCATTGCTTCAAACTTAAAATTTAAGAACAGGTAATAAAGCTTACACCTATATGAAACATGCAGACAAACAAAAACCCAAATGTTAACCAAATCAGTTGTGTTTGCTTTTTGTTGAATGGGCCAACGTGTTATACATTCTTTCTTACTTTGAGATAAACATGTACCACATGCTTTCTTTTATGTAAATATTTAATGCCAGAACAATTTATAAACGAGTTGATCTAGGCAACAAAACGTTGCTTCTTTTGTTATCAGTTTGGTAAAATACTTATACATGTACAAATTAACATGTGAATTAAGATTATACATAAATATATACAAACAATACATGGTAAAATTTCTTAAAAATGCATTTTTTTATTCAGCCTATTGATCTTGGGGTACAAAGCCCATACCTGTATTGATGTTAGTATGTGTATTTCTTGCTGTTTACTCCCAAAAACATTGATCGCGACCTTTTCATAGCTCTCCAAATTTGACTGTTCTATCATTTGATCATTTAGATGATACTTCAGACAGCTAAAGACTTTGTAGAATGTTAGACAACTGTTTATACAGTTTTGAATAATGTATCTGCGAAAAATTGTAGTCCTGAGAAAGTAGATCAGGAAGCTTAGAGTATAAGCCTGTGATATTGTAGAGCAGTATATTTACACACCCTCATCCATTTGCCAATTTCTAGGCAGATAGGTCTTTCATATTCTGCATCAGTTCCAACAATGGTGTTCAGTAAAATTCATTCATCTATAAAGGATGGTTCCCAACATGTTCTGGGAATGCAGTCCTTTGGTCAATTTGAAATTACACTTATATCTTCCTCATTTCCTGCCCAGAATCTGAAGAGAAAGACATGTGAACAGTGTCATTATATTTGTGTGCATAATATATAGATTGGCAGATTTCGTGTTGAATGTGAACTCTCTCTTCTAACCTGACTCCCTACACCCCCCCAGTCAAGCTCAATCTTGACTGATCCTTCATTCAAATCTGGTTTGGGAGCTTTTCAAAACCTGAAGGTTCAAGTTTGGACCTTACATTTTCGATTGTATTCAGCACCATTAGCTCAGCGGTTGCATTGACACTACAGGTTCTAATTAATGACTGTCTGGATTTTTTTTTATCATGATCTGAAACCATGTGAGTATGTTCACTTGTAAACATTTTCCAGTTGCTCAGCATTTTATCATACAGGTCTGACTGAGCTGTCAAAAACTCTCAAAGTTTAGTCATATTGCTGGAATCTGGCATACAATCCCCACAATATATTTAAATTTCATGGGATTCTTGGAACAAAACATTTATTGTCAAGAGTTGTCTCAATAGTGCATAATTTCATGGTATTTGTGGGAGAAGAGTTCCTTAGTCCTAATTTTGTAGTGCATTTTTTCAAATGCAATTAATTAATCTTTTAGCACACCAACATTACATTTAATCCTTTTTGTTTGAAAAAGTTTGCCCAGTAATTGTGCATTAACCATTTGGAAAAGGTTCTTACATTGTGTGAGTTGTACAAGTTGACCTTTTTGAAAGACCTTTTAATTGAGAGGCCTTTCTTATCTTGAAGGAGTAAAATGGTTTTTGGAATTAATTAATTAACCAACAACTGTTCTTGTGGACTTTTTATTGGCCAAGTAAATCAGTGAGCATTTTATCAATACATCGGTTGGTTCATCAACCTGTTAAACAAAAAGTCATCGGTCAAATATTCAGTCATCAAAAGTATCTGATACTCTGATCCAATCCAACTCACACACTTTATCTTTTCAGTTCACATCAAAGAGTTGGTTTTAGTCTTGTTCCCATTGTTACTACTCTCACAGATGTTAGTTGTTGATTTCACATTCCATGTAATGTGTTGCTTAATTCCCTTGGTTGGGATGTATGGATAGTGTATGTGAGATGTAACAGTTGGACAATAACTGAAACAAAGGGATCTTTAAATGTGTTTAAGAAAAACTGAGAGTGGTTGGGAGTTGTTTTACTGTGCAGTTCTTAGTCTCTAGAAGCTTAAACATTGCTTTTCTTTTTGTACTTAAATACTGTTGTCTTAAAATAACTATGCAAACTGCTTTAAACATTTCTATTTTGATTATTAAAGTGCTCTAAAGAAGTTCTGTTTAACTTGTTTGTCTTTTGCCACAATTTGGCTGGGTGACTAGGCGGAATGTTTAGTTTGTTTGTGTTCAAGCCAAGTGGATTGTCAGGCTAAATTGTTGGGTTTTTGCTGTATCCTGATGGTTTGTTTTTCAAACTGCAAATTTCAATTTACTTCAAGCTAGAAATTTATTGCCAAGCCTGTTAGGAATACAAGTATCTTTCGATACAGAAATGATAAATATTCAATGTTTAGGTTTGTTGGAGAAGCTGTGCTTTCTCTGTTGGATTCATGCCTAACAAAAGTAATCACCTGAAGCAGAAGACAAGTATTGTCCTTATTGAGTTTTCTACTGCTTTTTTTTTGTATTAACATTATGAATGGGTTCCAGATGTTTTCATAATGGAAGGCTGTGTGATTTTACCATGTTTTTATTTTAGATTTGAAAAAAAATGCTTTTATGTCAGTTTTGCTGCAAGTTTAGAGGTTATGGGGCTGCCCCCATGTAGTTATGATTATTCCGTATGTGCCATTTTGTGTGTGCAAAGAAACATTGCTAATTTTGATAAGTTCGTTCTTTTTAAAACTTGTCTGGTTCAATTTCTATCAGATGTAAAGTACACAGATGTAAAGGTAAGCAGGATTGTATTATCTAGGACACAATTGTTGAAATGCCTACATAAAAGGCAATCTCTTTTGCCGAGCAACATACATGCATGCCAACCATTCTGATGCATTACGTACACCGGCTATTAAAAACTATGCTTGCAAAAAAATGTATAACTACTCAAATGTGTTAAAGCTGTGAAAAATAAACTCCAGCACAGTGTTCTTGCAACAAATGACTACATCTGTGTTAACCAGATATTAGCTTCTAAAGAGAAGAGACAGTATATCTATTTAATGACTGGTTTCTATGGTAACTTGGCCTAAAACACTGAGCGATATATAGGTTAATATTGCCAATTCCTGTATATATATATACATATATCACATGCTTTTCAATTATATTATATATCACACAGTCCCTTCGTAGATAAAAATAGTGTAGCTCAGTGTAGTCTCAAGAAAATAACATGAATAATGCGTCTTTTACAGCATTTCATCCTCAGTGCTTGCGTCATTGTTACGTCATCATGATGTTTGTTTTATTCACGATTCAATTTTGAGTGAAATAAAATACCTCTGCACACCAACTATATCAGTGAAATGAAGACTATGTAACTGTTTGATTTCTGGTGTGAAAGATTTTGTGCTATTTGCTGTGGTTGCTGTACCCATACTGCTGCTGCTGCTGCATTCGGCCCACTTGTTGCTGCTGTTGCATCCAGTGGTGCACCTGCTGTTGTTGAGCCCACCTGTTGCTGCATCTGCTGCTGTACCTGCCGCTGCTGCTGCACCTGCTGTTGCTGAACCTTGCTGTTGTTATACCTACTTTTGCGCACCTGCAGTTTGCTTCACCTGCTGTTACTGCAGTCTGCTTTCACCAAACCTTCTAGTGCTACACTTGCTTAACCCTAACAGTCCTCAATCCTCCAACAGGTGAAGGATTGAGGACTGTTAGGGTTAAGGTGCTCAATTTGTTTTTGAGTTTTGTTCATTTACTTAGGGGTGAGATTTCTGGGCCTTTTAGCTGATATCAGCTTTCTTTGTTTTGGATTTCAGCTTTTTTCCTCACTGGCTGTGTACAAAAGTATATTAAATTTTCGAAGTTCAGCTTCTTCATTCCTTTTTTTTCAGCTGTTTTCAGCTATTTTTATCATTGGTTAATCTCACCCCTGTTTACTAACAGTCACTTTGAACCCACATTGTCAACCACTCCAGGGTTTCTATACTATTTGCTTACTTATCGATTGTGGTAGATGTCCTTTGTGCAGATTCATTTTTAGAATCACCAATTTACAAAACCAAAGGAAGGTCTAACTTCCTTGGCAAATTTATCCCATTTTGATAAATACAGTCAATTATTTCTAATTTAATTGAAGTGTTCTTTTCAGTTTAGTTCCCTGGTTCCTCTTAGTTTGGAGTTGAAATTTTGAATTTGACAGTTGACTGACATATTCTTGTAAAAAAAGAAAGAAATATTCATTTGTTGAAATGAATGGGGCATCACTTTTGAGAAATGAAAATGCCAGTTCCAAACTTCGCTTGCCACTTTGAATGGCGTTGGTTTTTTGCTCATGTTTTCAGAATCTATTCAAACAATATCCAGTTCTTGACATTTCAAGTTTGATTTATTTTTGGATTTGATCACGTTTGTTTCATTTCATCATTTGCCTATTCGGCCAGACAACAGAATAACAGTGGATTTCACCTTGGCTTGTCGTCGCTGGAGCCTGTATTTCCAATCCCATCCCAAAATTATGTCTGGGTCGCGTTAGTTCGCCCCTACGAGGGACAAAGTCTCGATCATCATCTTTCATCAGGATTCCGAGAAACGTCAAGGGAATTCCTGGAATGTCTCGGTGGAAGTTGTTACGGATCGAGTGAAACATTTCCGGCGATGTTTCTGGATCATTTCGAATCTGTCTGTGTCGTTTTCACTTTGGAGTGAGTCGTCCAATCCATGGCTAGTTGTTATCAGGTACTGCCGAGATATCATTGTTCCGATGTTGTTTTGTAGTTCCACTGAGGAGACGAAAAATGGCAAACTGAGACTGAAAGATAAACCTACAAAATATGACTGGACTTCTGAGGAAAAGGATAAGTCAAAACAAGTCGACCGTACGTATTGCGCTTGAGCCAGAGGAAAAAGTAACCAAGAAACGAGTATTACTTTGGCCCTTCGAACTTCAAGACTGTACCTGCTACATTGCATGATTAATGCTTACCTCTTTTACTAAAAGCTCGTTTCGTGTGTTGGGAAAAACACTAATTTTACTTGCTGGTTTGTTTTTTTTTTGTTTTTTTTTGTTTTGTTTTATTTTTTTTATGTTTTTTTGTGTGTGTGGGGGTGAGTTTGTTTCTGCATTCAATTGGGGACCTTGAACAATAGAGGACAATAAGGTCCCCGATTGACAGAGGGTCCCCGATTGACAACTGTGTACAAAACATATGGGTGGTCTCCTAAAAAAGTTAAAGTACAAACAAAAGAGGAACAATAGGGGGTCCCCAGTTGCAGGCAAATACACACTTGGGTGTGTGTGTGTGGTTTTTTGGGGGGCACGCAATTGACGTCACTAAGGTTGTGACGTCATACCCTGAAGGTCGAAAGTGAGTCGCTGAAGGAATACATTTCGGTACTAGGATCGGATGAATGATCTGTGACCTGTTCACGCAAACAAGGATCCTGTAAGATGGATGAACATTTCGAGCAAAATGTTATCTTTTTGACTAAAACCATACTGTGAATTTTCAAGTATTACATTCAACTTCTTGTGGATTGGAAGTCTGGTATGCCTACAGTTGCTCTGTACTTCAAATCTAAGTTAATATTGAATGTCACTTCAGCTACAGAAATTTCAGAAGTTCAGCCCTACGCTTGAATGATTTAATCCACGAAATTATAAAGTGAATGTTGACACTCCAAAGCGGTCAACTCAAAAGGTAATTCTGTTCTTATGGGAAAAACAGAAATGGCAGACTGCAGCGAGTGGATGAAAATTTATGGCGCAAAACTTCAGTATAGCCAGGGGATGTTTTTAGCGCGCACGCGTTGACCAACCACCGCGCTACGATGTTGAAGTTGGTGAAAATTCAAGTACAAATGTAATTTACACTTCAGATTGGCGATAAATTAAGTTAATTAATCTCCTCAATTACCAGTTATGCCAAGGGCGCCGGCTGAGTCCTTAGGCTCTTGGGTGGCATAGCCTACCGATGTTGGTATTGGAGGTAAATCCGTAGTACTAGATTTCTTGAAATGGGCAAGGTACTGAATGGAGTACAGAAGTTAATACGTATCGTGGCTTTGTAGCAGAAGATTCTACTCTGTTAAGGTAACTTACGAATTCTTTTTTCTTAGGGGTAGCGAGAATGGGTGTGATTTGCCCTATCACTCCACGTGATTACGGTAGTTCCTGCATGAAATCGTGAAACTATCTCCCTTTCTGAAACAATATTTCACAGCAGTGAATTAAAAAGAGAGGTGATTGGCTGATCGCAGAATTATCCAAAAAAAACATGCAATAAGATTGAATTATCGCACAAAGACGCGCAATATCACACGCGTATCGACCGATGACACTGCACATCGACTTGGTTTCGAACGCAGTCATTCCTGACAAATGACTGTGGCCGAGAAGCATGCACAGGTTTTATACATGTAGTACAAGACCAGAGTTGAACTGCTCTCCAAATGTAGGCTATGGCTAGCAGCCTTTTTAATGGTAAACTGCATATCCCGACTTCTGAAAACATTTCAGTTGAATTGCGAGAAATTTCGTCGTTAACGACTATCGCTTCCGATTATTGGCAAAGGCGCGGTCATCATGGTCCCTCTTGGTACCGCATTTCTCGCGTGTTTTTTTTCTTAGAAACAAGTGATCTTTAGAAATCCTGTTACATCCCCACTGGCTCCACGGCTTCGTAAACAAAACTCTTAATTACTTGTAAATTCCTAACGAGAACCAGGTTTCGAAAGGTAAACGGTAATGTTCGACCACAGACACGTGGGTGGAGGACTCGAGACATTTATTGGCAGAGGTCGGACCACCGACAAGGTCTTGTGTCGGGCCGTGTCAACCGTCGAATGCCTCCCCATCACTTATCGAGTTGTGCCCGTTGCTTCGGCTGGTTTGTCACCATGCTGAGAGTTTCTTGCCCCCTGTCGTACCCCAAGGTTTCGTGGACAAACTTGGGGTATTCACCTGGAACCTTTCCAAGGACTCGATCGTTCGAAGGTTTATTTTAGTGGACAAGTTGACCCGACCGGCTGCCTCCCGACCTTTTGGTAATTAGGCCTCGGGCCATTTGTGGACCTTGGTCAGTTATTACAGAGTTGTCAGTTAATACCAATTAATTTATCAGCACATTCAGATGGTCACTTGTGGTCAGCAGACTGTTTTCTATGTAGGACGCCTCTTATTGGGACCAATCGAAAAAAAAATTGCGCGTGTGAGCTTTCTGCTGCAAAGGAAACAGGTCCAAACAAAAGAGAGAAAAGGGAATTACCCAAGCTTTCCCGTCTTCCATGGACCATGGAGTCGACTTCCGACGAGGAAAAGCCAGGATAACCACAAAATTCATTCTAAAAGCCAATTAACATCAATTGCCCAAAGGCCACGTCCATTCTCCACCCACCCCCGGGTACGCCCCTGAAGACGGACTCTAATTGGTTGCCTACTTGTGTTGTTACCATTCCAGGGGTTGAAGATCAAAACCAAAAACATCTGTGGACAACTCCAACTCGTTCATATTTGTCCTTTGATGATGCGTGCTTTGCATCATTATTTCTAGCGCTTGGGAATGCAACTTGACCGGTAAATTGTCTGCGCGACGAGTGAAATCGCACCGTATCGCCCTGCATCGACGAGGTCGTTTGTACTGAAGTCAACGGGCTAATACGAGTGGACAATTGCCCATGCGCTCTATTGTGTGTAAAGGGCATTAGAGCGAGAACCAGCGCGTGAACCAACACGCGCGTACATGTGTCCTTATCAAAGTGTCGTTTTGTGTCAGAAGCAACAAATACCCAACATCGGTGACGTTTTCCGTTCTAAAATGTATCTGCCAGTATTTTACAAAAAATATTTGATTCATAGAATCTCTCTTTACAATAAAATAGGTAAAGAAAACTGAACACCAAGTCTCAACACTGGATATGAAACGACTGACGATTTTGTTGTCGGTCAAACTGAGACACGGGATCTGTACTAAATCAAAATTTAGTACAGATTATAAAAATCGCTGAAATGGAATGTTTTCGCTGATTTTGTCTTGTAATGTCTTCTCTCGTCTGTTTTAAAGGATGCTCAATTGTATTCAATTCCTGATTCGCTCGGTCTTTAGGCTTGTTGAAGCTTGATTTCGAAGTTTAAAAGAAGTACGTTTTAAATTCCGTTTTAACAGAACAAGATGGAAGTGCATGTAAAGTCATGATTATGCATACCAGCTGCTGTGCCCCCTCCCTTTTTGCCATGTATTTCAATTGCCAAAATGTCATGACAACTAAGCTTTTCTGGTACCAATTAGATTGATCGTCAGCAATATTGACGCTCTTCACTCGTCGTAGTGCGTGCCAGGACTCAACGAACGCCCGAGGCGCCAGGATGTAAGTGAACTCGTAACCATCACGGCTTTGCTTTACCGTCGGGACTGTTGGGGCAATAAGCCGAGAATTTCTCCACAGGCAAAATGAAAAATGGTTGTAATATCTCTGAGGTCAGACAATTGAGCAATCGTCGATAAACGGCCACACCGTGAATTTTCTATCTGTTCCCACGATGGAAATCTATAATCTGGGGTAGTGGCGTATCCAGGTTTTCAAAGTTGAGGGGGCAAAACGGAATTTTTTTCCAAGCAGCTAGCGGCTGTTATTTGTTTTTTCATCCGCACGAGAGTCCCCCAAGAAAGGTGGTTGTATCGTTTCTAGTGTTGGCACTTTCAAATAAAAAATAATAGATAATTAAAAATAAAAAAAATTAATGCCAACAAACCAGCTTTCCTCAGAAACGTGAATCTTAATTCAAAACAAGATGAAAATCCAACCTGTTAAAAAGAACAATTCCTCCCTTATGTTTTACCCATACCGAGTATTTGTCCTTTCTATTTTAGTACATGTACCTTGTCCATTTCATCCGCAGCTAGAATCGGAACTGGAAACCTTTGTCTCGACGGAAAGGACTAGAAAGACTAAACTTGTACAAATCAACCAATCGTTAGTTTTCTTGTTTTGTTCAAATATTTTCTCACGATCTTTATTTCAAAAGCTGTCTGCCACTCGAAACACAGGAATCAGAAATTAGTGCCCATGAAAGTTGCACATTTAGAGAAATTAAATGAAAAAAAAGTTGAGAGATGGTATAGGGCAATAGCTGAAACTGTGGTAACTCTAAAGGATATTGGACTGAACAAATGGCAAAGTCAACTGTAAACGGACATCAATCTGTTTTTCTTTTGGTATGTTTATTTGTTCTATAGCTTTGGCCTATATATTATCCAAGAGAACTTGCCAGCAATTCAAATGCTCTGCGTGTTGGCATTCTCCCGTGACGTTGAGCCACTTCAACTAGCTGAGATCTTTAAGCTTTCTCGAAAACAGTATGCAGTACACCTACATTTAGTGCATCTGGACTTCCCAGTAGAATCCACAAACAGGAAAATTCTCTGTCTTTCCAAGAATCTTTGCAACTGCGTGTACAAAAGTGAGGGTCTGTCTCGAAACGGTTCTTAGAGACCATGGAAATGGAACAAATGGAGCTAGGATGTCGCGGTCACGTCCCTCACTGGACGCTCCTCTTCGTCATGATTTTCATCCCCCTCCCGGACCAATGCACCCCCATCCAGAGCAACCACGTACCTATTCCAGCTACCCTGGAGATTGGGGGTGTGCCAGACAGGTCTCAGCCGGGGATCACAACCTCTAGCCGTATGGGTACCTCACTGTCCTTCGTCTTAGACATCTCGGATTCCATGTACGATGATTGGGAGCAAGTTTTGAGAGGAGCCAAAGAAATCTTGACAACTGTGATGGCGAATAGGGACCAGCCGATTTACAACTTTGGTCTGGTACCCTTTTTCGACCCAGGTAAGAGTCAAATCAATTTTCAATTGGCCCAGGGAGAGGGGCAAGAGGCTGAAATGTAATCAGGGTCCTGTTTGCAGGGCGGCATTTTGGACCTCACGAGGGTAAAAAGATTTTAGTTTGTATAAAGCCTTATTTTCCTCTTTATATTGGAGTTTGCGGCAAGAGAGGTGGGAGTCATCCCACCCCAGTGGCAGATCCTGAGCCCCCGCGGGGGTGGTGGAAATCTTTCTAAAAGTGACGGTCCAATGTATTTTTTCACCTGTAAAATAATTCTCATTACCCGCCACCCCAAGAAAGGCGGTATTGCCGTTTCTATAGAACGCCGACACTTTCATTTCCATATCTTAGGCTATACTGTGACAGTGCTGAGGAAAAGGTCCCAATTGATAACCTTATAGGCCTAGTGGCAATAATGCGAGTTACGGTAGCCATTAAGTCCTACTTCCTCCAAAAGACTTAGTGCGTACCTTTCTGAAGGAGATGTATTATTATCCGAGCTTATGTTTGGCTTAAAAGAGTGAGTTGAAGACCAGATGTGAGATAATTTGCCCACTGAATAAGTTAAAAGGGATCGAAATACATCTAGACACGCGTACAAGAGTATTAACCCTATGATCACATTATCGAGTGAAACCCCGTCTGACTAGGAGTAATCTAAATAATACCAATCCGCTAAAACGAATCCACAACAATGTTAAATTCCAGTGTGTAATGTTCTGGAAATATCGCAGCAGCTTCGTATTGTTTAAATTGAATAATTTCTGATTTGTCCATACGTTTAACACCACCATATGCATTTAAAACCGATCGAAATGACATTTAAGAACGACTACTTGCAAGTTTCATATTCTACCCTTCGTTCTTTCTAGCAAACTGTTTTATGGCGCATTATTTGTAGGTCTACCAAAGAACATGCTTAGATTGTTAGTTACAACTAAAAAATGGTAAAATCTTCGTTTATGTTCAGTGAAAGGATTCATTTTCTTTCCTGGGGGATAAGTTGGGAATTTCTTGGTGTAACCTTTAATGGTCTTTCCGAAGGGCTTACAATTTGGGCTTTCTTCGCGCTTTGGATTGAAGGGCCATAAGTGAAGGGCGACAAGCCTTTTCTCATGATATTTACATATAAAACGCACCTTTAATTCTTTGGGGGAAGGGGTGACATCTCCCCCAACCCCCATCGCGCCTGGATCGCTCATGCAGTGGACTCTGAGTTCGGATAGAGGTTTGGAAAACACCGGGCTCAGAGTGATAGGAGGGCGCCCTTCAATGAATTTATTGGTTAACAGGTGTTGTCGATGTCGCGAGCGCGCATTTACACTAGACTAAACATTGCTTACCGCTTGATATTGTTCGTTTGTACTGTCCGATCCTGCTAGTAGTAGTAGCTACAAACTACAACAAAGTTATTCAGTGATTTGTGCTGAAAGTGTAGTTGTGTAAGACCAGCTTATTGTTGCTGCCAGGACCATTTCCTCTCATTTATTGGAGCCACGAGGAATGGTTACAACTGAGCGAGCACACGCTGATCGGTCAGTCGGAAGTCGCGGTGTTCTTCACGGGGGGCTGACGTGGTTGCTCCCGCTAATCTCCGCAAGGGACTCCACTTATTTAAGTGGTGACTCTTGCGGCTTTGGTCCTCAGTTAAGTTGTAAGCGAGGAAGGAGGCGGTCGTGTTGGACTATTAACTCCTCAGTTGAATGTTGTTACACACGATTTTCCTGCAGAGGAAAAGAACAGAATAGCATTAGGAGGAGATTCTAATAGCCCTGTCAACGTACATTTTTCCCGATAAACTGTTGTCTCTCTCCACTGGCTTTGTTTGGAATTGGATGACGTTTCCGTAACAAGTTTCAGATTTCGACCGGACATTTCTCTGGGTCGGACCACCCTGTCGGACTTGTTTGGGACTCTCCTTGGTCAGTGGTCAAAGAGAAAGAACATTTTTGCTGGCTTTGTGGATTTTTGGAACGCCGTTGGTGAACTCTTTGCATTGTTGAGAGGGTAACCAAATTTGGTCCCTCGTCTTATACCACCGACATGCTACATCACTCCACGATGAATGCTTTCTGGAGCAAACTCAGCCCTCTTCTTCTGATCATCTGCTCCTTACCCCTCAGTGGGGTTCACTCACAGATTTCTGGGTATGAGGCACCGAGTGTTAGCTATAACTTGGCCGGGAATTTGGGTTTTGCTGCCCCTCAACCACCAGCCGATCCTCCGCCTGCCCCAGCTCCAGTCACAGGCTCCACGTTAACCTTCGTTTTTGACAGTACAGGCTCAATGTTTGATGATTTAGTCCAAGTCATAGATGGAGCTGAAAATATTTTGAACACAGCCATGTCCAGACGGGAACAGCCACTGAAGAATTTTGGACTGGTGCCATTTCACGACCCTGGTAAGCAAACTTTAAGGGGAAAAATGAAATTCAAAATGTTGATAATGTTGACAATTTAGTGAAAATTTGACTTGGACCAAGGTGGTCATGCTGGTGCGATGGGTTTTTACTTTGATCAGAGCACTGCTGTAGTAAATTGTTTTTTTCATCATTATCAATAGTTTGCCATCTGAAGAATAACATGTAACTAAGCTGTAAGAAATTGCCATGTGAAGGAAATGATTGATGCATAATGGAAAGATTTTACTTCTGGTGCCCATCAAAAATAACTGTCATGACTGGAATTGTGAGATAAATGAAACAATGTTTAAACTTTTCTCTATGTAAAAAAAATCCATAATTACTGGCATTGCAGAGCTGTGCTGTAAAGTGAAAATCTTTTTGTACATATGTGGTACCTAATATAAAATCTCGAAAGAAAAAGTTGATGGTAAAAGTGGTCTTTCCTTTTCATATGAGATAATAAAAAAAGATCTTATGATGTCATCTCTGATTAAAGTGACCCATAAAACATGACATTGTATGTGTAAGTTTGAATTCTCCTGAGTAAATACAGTGAATGACCGGCCTCAAAACAACCAACTACATGCATACACTGAGTTATGGGGTCAGATTTCTCAGATCTACACATGTAATATATGTAGACAGAGGACAGGTGATTTACAGCAAAGGTAAACCTGCACATGTGGTAATGTAAAGATTGAATGGTAACAGGTGCTAGCAAGCAGTTTCCCAATCTTCCATTCCCCCTACACACATCAGAGCATAGGCTACTGGTGGCGGACAGTTTTTTCTTTGTGCATTATAATGCAGAAGTGGTGTACACTTGTTGAACTTGAAGCAAATCTGCAGATATCGTTATCATTTGTTATGTTCCTGCAATATTTCCCTTGTGAAATGCAGAAATGCTTGTGTCCTTTTCCCCCCAATTCTCAATTGATTTGCTGTCTACTCCTGATTAACTTTTGTCAGTTTGTATATGTTTCAGTTTTAGATTTCCTTGGTCATATTGGACAGGTGGCTTGGGGCTTGGTGTTTTAAGTTTTAAGTTTTTTGTGATGTTGAAGTTACCAGATTTAAGTTTACCGGTAACCAAATTTATTTGTAAGAGTTTCCTGATTTATTTATTCTTTGAAAAGGACCACCTACATGTACCATAGTACCACCCCTCACAAAATGTGAAAGGAACTTGTGGGAGGTAGACTTAATAAGATCTACAGGAAATGAATAGTGACAGGTTAATCCCTTAAGACCATCAGGAATTGTAATCTCATGAAGCTAATCCTATGTCTTCTAGTAGGGTTTTACCCAGAATGTTTGGCATTAGAAAGGCAGATTTGAAGGGGTTTGAAGCTGTATCCTTGTTGTGATGAGCGAGGTCACAGAGGAATATCTGTGTGAGAGATGTCCAAGCAATCATGCCTGTGCCCCCCCCCATTCCCCAGTAGATTTGTAAAGATGTGCATAAATTCAGTACAAGGGCAGGTAACCAAATAAAACCTCAAATACTTTCTGTATATTTTCCAAGAAGAATAAGTGAGAGCTTTTTCCAAAAGACATGAATTAATTCATTCTTGACTTACCTTCCAAAGGACATCTCAGTATCAACTGATTCGGAGGACTCATGCACTGATAAAATCCATTTTTAACACTTTTCCACTTTCTCCAATCTTTGTTGTATGCTTTGAAACTGAGCTGTCTTTATTCAGTTAGCCTTACTGTCTGACCAGCTTTTTCCTAAATGCGGCATCCACACATCTTTCTTGACTTCAAACTCTTGGCCTAGACAAACTCAAGGTCATCAGCGATTGACTAACATGATCGATTTTTACAGCAAGCCAAATATTTGGATGAGCCATGGTTAGTGTTACATTCAACACAAGCACCACAGGTACAATCTTGTAAGCACAGTGGACTTGTAAATTGCAACCAGATCTCAATAAAATAACAGTAAAGTTGTCAATGTACACTTTGCTTGTAAATCCTGCAAAACAGGTGAAAGCAGGCCTCAAACATCTCAAAGACCCTGACTGAAGACAGAGGCATTCAGTGGGTCAGCCCTTTCTAGAGACCCTTGTCACAAAGAGTGATATGCTAACATGTACCTTCCTACTTGCACATGAAATTGTCTGTTCAGAAATAGAGATGTGCCTAAGATTTCCCCACGAGGTCAAATAAACTGATCCTAATCTACTAGCAGGGTCATTTACTCTCGGAAAGCTCATTCTGTTCTGTCCCAATGTTATCATAGTTTTGAAATTCAACTTAATAACTTTAATCATAATGTAATTCTGCATTGGTCAGGTAAATATATTAAATGTGAACATGGAATACCTATAATGTAATGCCACAGGATTTAAACAGTCTCCTGAGAATGGTTGTTTATCATGGAACCGTCATTTTACAAGCATCTGGTAGTGATTAAGTTCGCAAACCAGCTACAGCTTTAACAATTTCTCAAATATTTTCATTTCAAAAAATTTGACCTCAAGCATTTGCAATCTTCTTGGTCACCTGTGCTATAAACTGTTCCCTGATATATTTATTTTCATTGTGCCCAGGTCAAAGAAATCTTAAGATATCGTAAAGGGTCAGGTACTAGACTATGACTTGCTGTTTTCTCCAGCTGGAGATTGGAGTCAAAACCTAACAAAGTAATAACAAAAACAGGGTGGAAATATGAACTCATTCCAGATGGCTTTATGCTGCAGGAATATCTGACCTTGCGCCTAGTTACAGTTTGAGGTTATTTGTAAGTCTCACTATGTGCCTTCAAACACCTCAAGGGCTTGAACTTGGAAAATGTGTTGGACAGAGCTTGCTGGCATTGTAAGTTCAAACTCTGGACCTACATTATGCTATTGTACAACATTTGTGAGAAAAACTGTATTGTGTCCATGCCCAGTGACATAAGGACGTAATTTTTAACCAATAACAATCAATCATTTGAATTTATCCTAAATGGACATCGCACTGAGGACTGAGGTTAGTTTGCAAACTGGTTTTTCTGACAGTGATTCTGTTGACTAATGAATGGTTTCATGATATCTGTGGCCACAGAATTGCATTTCAGTTCATTCTGTTTGAGGTTTAAATGTCCAATCCTGATTAAACCTCATGTTGTTAACCGTTACCATACTACCAATGCTTAGATCCCGAGTCAACTCAAAAGCAAACCCTATTCACAATAATAAATAGGTTTAGCAATCTTTAAAACTCGGCTGAAATCAGAATGATTCCTTGCTGGGACTCCTTCCTCCATGAATCCAAGAAGAAATCCAGAGCGAGTTTGCAGTGGAGATACAAATTATGGAATTGAGAAAAGTTCTTATGTGGTGGAATTGAATGACCTGTCAAAACATACCTGATGGTTTTATCAAGGAGACAGTTTCGAATTTATTTCTGTGAAAAGTGTTTAGACAATGTCTAAGGAAGACCAACATGTAGGTGGGCCACACACGCTTGACAGCAAGGCCACAGGAACAAGGGACACAGTGGAAATGGTCAGGCCAGCAGACAGGAAAGACGGGCAACTTTCACTGTCTGTAGACAAGGTCATTAGTGTGCTGTGGTGTGTGGTGCAAGACACTGGTTGAAACTTGAAATAGTTGGATGAACTCAGAGCTATAGATATGCAAGACATTGGAATATCTGGATCGATGTGTGACCAAGTATGAGTCGGACCAAGTCAGAATGTTAGATGAAGGGAAAAATAGAATTGTTTAAGACTTTGCTAAAAATGTTGATGCTGAATACTTTCTACCTTCTGCAGTGTTATTTTTATAAGTTGTAGTTGTGCATAAGCTGAAATTTAACACAGGAAAATCGATTAAACTTGCCAAAATAATTAATGTCATATATTCACGCCTTCATAAGAAAGTGAAGTTAAATATCCCAATCCAGTATGAACAAACACATGGGCTACAGTTTCCTCCATAAAATCCAGTCAGCAACCATTTCATTAAATCAGTCAGCAGATCACTAAATAGTAATTTGTTAGAGTATGGCCAGAGAGCTCCTTCCATTACTCCAGACCTGTAGCTTCAGTCCAGCAGGTTGCCACCACCGGAAGTTCAAGTTAGACACCAGCAGAGAGGTTTTTAAACACAACCTTGAATGGCCTGCTGAGAAGGCCTAGACCGGCAGACTTGGCATCAAGGGGAGCTAATTGTAAATATTTTCTTAGTATGACAAAGTAACAAAAAAGACCTGTGTTTAATTTTTACAGCACAATAAAATCTATCACTTAATTCCTCTAGCATGTGACCTGTCACCACAAAATGAGCTGAAAGTCAAAATTAAAAGAAAATGAGATATTGATATTTTTTAATTCAGTAGAGAGCTTTTGAGTGGTATTTACATGTGCATGGAACAGTTAGGCTAAAAGTATAAGGTGACAAGGTGGCATTATTCTGGTAGCTTTGCGTCTTTTTTCTGACATTGTTTCAACATTTCGGACTAGTCACGAATAATGCTGCCATCAAAATTGCTGCGAAGCTCACATTTTTAAATATCTGATCCTGCGATGTTTGGAATTAAATAGGAGATGTGTTGCTCTTTCCAAATATTACAAAACCCCCAAATTGACCTCCACTTATAGGCAAATAGGCAAGAGGGGGATGCAACTTTACGCTCATTTTGTCATTCCAGATCACGCAATATATTGATTTCATTGGTCATTAAATGTATTATTTTATTTAAGGCAATTAAAGAAATTGTTTCAGCGTTTTCGGCAGCCGCACTGTTTGAAAAGATCAAACTTTGATCAATGTCCAGTGTCCACTATGGTTTAAAAGGATGCTAATCTTGAATAAATTCACCAGAATCTTATATTCAAGTACGTAACCCTTTCACTGCACCCCCCAAAAACAAAACAAAAAAATAGTGCTTCAACTCATTGTAACCCCAAACTTTACATCAAAACTACATTTTAGCTTGACGGCCTTCTCTTTATAATTTTAAGGAGTGTGTTGAAATTTTCCTTGTGAAAGTGAGAGTTA